TTCGTGAATACAGCATGTAAGAGCTGCACAGTTCAAGCAGGATAGATCAATCTCTGGCTCAAGCATTGATACTAAAGGTCAAAGAAAAAAGTAGTTGTGCTGCGTAATCCAGCCAGTCAAAACCAATAGAATGACTATGTCAATGGATATCAGTTTTGTTGTCATACAGAGAAGATGTGCTGGATCTCTCAGTAAGTTGGATTCATACATCACCTCCCTTAAAGTTTGGCACAGCTTGAGCCACTGACCCTGGAATATGGTTTTCATTATATCTCTTACTGGTCATTCTCTTTGACAGTGTTATGCATCAAAGCCAAAAGAGGATGATGAAGCTGATAAACCTATTAGTATCTGATAGGTAGCGTGAAATGGTTTGCCTACAAATGCTGACATGTTTCTATGGAAATCATCAGATGGTTAACATGCATGCATAGGAATCCATTTGTGCACATACACTACCATTCAGACATTTGGGGTTGGTAAGATTTTTTCAAGTTTTTGAAAGACGTCTCTTATTCTTACAAAGACTGATTTAACAAATAAATAAATATTTCAAACAAATAAATTTGTCTCTGAAAATCTCTGAGTTTCCTTTGTTGACTTTGTCAGTATGCACATATTTATTGTGCAGTAAATTCACTCATATGTTGCACATTATTAATACACTGAATAGTGGCATGCACGGGAGGTGGAGGTGGGGTGATACGAGCACTGTTCCTTAATCGACAACGCTAAAGTGCCCTTTCGGCCCTATCGATGTGCCCCAAGAACGCGATTTCTACCGAGGGTTATCCCACCTGCCCTGGGAGCGTGATTTCTCCCCTGCCCTTGCAAAAGTCTGTGCATGCCTCTGACACCGAAGTATAATCTGGTTTCATAACAGGGCAAGTATGGCTAAGCAGGCCAAGCAGCTGACTGAAAAATACTGCAATCTAAACTTGTTCTAAATATGGTCTGGAAAACAGGACTTTCCCACAACCTGACTACCTAGATCTGTATATGCTATTATACTCTTTAAGGGGATAGTGATACCAATAACAGAATCAGGACTGATTAGGCTTATAAATGCAAGCCTGAAAAGACATCAGAGAAAAGTTTCTTAATCATTACTGTGTAGCTTACTGGCAAAACATAATATAAGACATTTCCAACTCAAAACTGTAACCTGTATGCCACATTAAATGCAGTCTGTGATTTTTTTATCCATATTTTGTTGGAGAAGATTCCTCTTGTCACAGGGGCAGTATTGCCAGCTGTGTAGAAATTTCTTACAGGATAAACGTGAAAGTGTGTCTGTGCCAGGCTTTTTTCACTCTATTTATGTAATAAAATACTGGGCGAATTCCAAACAGAAGTGAGCATCCATGCATCGCAAGATCTCCTGATCACATGATCACAAACGGAAAACACTTCCGTGAAGTGACCATCGCATGTCCCCTTCGTTAACGGACTTGAAGGGCTCTTCGTGAAGGGATTCAGTTGTTCACTTTCATTTGGAACGTCCCTACATATGGCATCCCCTTCCTGAAGTTCCCTACAGACATCCAGACTGCAAAAACTCATTTCAGGGAGGTAGTACCACCCCCAACAGCACCCCAATCCCCCCCAAGCCTCCCAAGGCTCTATGACACGTTTGATTAAGTAAACTACTTTAATAGAACATTTTTGAGCACATATTTGAATTATTTACAGTACACACATACATACATTCATTACTTTAGTATTATGTTTTCTGTCTCAAATGGCTAAAATAACTGGTAATGCAACTCTTATGCATGCAGTTCATTTACAAACTTTCCTTGTTCTGTGATGTGGCTTGCTTTGCAGATTTGAGCGTTTTACTGGATGGCTCAAAGTCATAGCAGTCTGTGTCAATGACTTTATTAATTTTGCATGAAATAAGAGATAACTGTTTGGTCTACTTAGCACATATGAGACCAATCATCAGAGGATGCTCATTCTGTTGCAATTCAAAACTAACTATCATGGCCGTAGCCAGGCTTTGAAAATTAGTGAGGTGAGACAGAGATGTAGATGTTTGTGAAAGATGTTTTCTGTATTGAAAGGATGAACACTGTAAAATTATACCATAGTCTATTTAGTGCATTGTTAATATTTACTATAGATTAGGGGTGGATCATTTTATCAGTTGTTTATTATTCATGCAACTATCCATATTACTGTTATATAGTTTTCATGAATAATCATTGCTCTATGATAACTTTGTTTAGTGCTCTTATGGATGTTTTTAGCATGACTTTGTGAAAATGTAACGACTACTGAATAAAATTGCATAGACTTCTTCATGGCTAGGGTTTGCGTATTTCATTTCATTCTGTAACCTACTTGTTCTACAGATCTGTGTACTAGTGTTAAAGGTGCCATAGAATGCATTGATACAATATTTTCAATTGTTCTCTGATATCTACATAGAAGGTATGTGGCTTAGGTAAGGGCAAAAAATCTCCAGAAACGGTTTTACAT